ATAAATATTGTAAAAAATGTTAGTAATTATTCTCTGGTACTTAAAGGTTTTAGTTTTGTTTTTGTTTTTGTTTTTTTTAATGGAACCCTTCACGAATTTGCATGTCATCCTTGCACAGGGGCCATGCTAATCTTCTCTGTAGCGTTCCAGTTTTAGTACGTGTGCTGCCAAAGCAAGCACAAGCTTTTAGTTTTAACATTTGAGAACTTGATGTCGCTGGAATCTGTTTTGTGGCATTGTTTGAGTTAGAGAGACACCTGTATAGGATGTATATATATAATATATTTTCTATTTTGCCCCTCAAATGATTAGCCTTTTATCAAAGTGCCATTTGTCGAATAACTCTCCTTTCCCCATTGATTAGAAATGCCGTTTTGTCCACATACCTCTTCCTTCTTTTTAGTTGTGTCTGTTTATGGGCCTTTTGTGCTATTGCTCTGCTCATTCTTGTACCAGTTTCACAGTGTTTAAATTATGAGGGCTTTATATTCCTTTCTAAAAATTCAGAGAACAAATATCTCCCATTGCTTTTCATTTTCTTAGCAAGTTTTCACTCAGTTTTTCTTCCAAGTAAATTTAACAGTCATTTTGACATACACTTTTACAGCTAAAATCCACTATTTGTCCATTAGTGACCTAAATAGAGATTGTTCTTCCACAAGATGCTTAAAATTGCAATCATTGTGACTGGTAGAAGGAAACAAGTTTGTAAATTACAGAATATGATACTAGAGCGAGCCAGGGAATGTTTTCTTCATTTCTTTAATTCTAGGATAGAGACATTTAGATGAAAAGGGACTTGAAAACAAGGCATTGGATTCATTCCTTGTTAGTCATACAGTTTCATTAATTTTCCCCCATAATACTTCTGAAAGTGTGACCTATGAATTCAGTCCCAAAATCATGCTGTATTTAAAATAGTGCAGTTTGTGAATCAAGAATAATTTTTTTAACTCAAAAATCATGAAACAGACATACAAGTTATGTCCAGGTAACATTTAAGGTGCTGCTAATGTTCCCTCCCTGACAGAAAGGCCATTCTTTTCAGAACTTGGCATTCTCTTTTTCACTGTGAACTGAGATTAGACTGTCCCTTGGTATATACTGCTTTTATTGTTGAGGGGTGTGTGTGTGTGTGTGTGTGTGTGTGTGTGTGTGTGTGTGTTTGGTGTTATATGTATCCAATCTCTCGAAGGCAAATTGCAAACACCCTACCAGCCTAGCATCCACTCGGAGACACTAAATCCTCAACATATGTCCTTAAAGGGTCATTTCTAATCCTATGATTCTATGTTTTTGCTTTGTTTCCTCCAAGATTATGCTACCTCCTTTTTTTTTTTTTTTTTTTTTTTTTAGAAATGGAGTCTCCCTCCATCACCCAGGCTGGAGGGCAGTGGCATGATCTCGACTCACTGCAACCTCTGCCTCCCGAGTTCGAGGAATTCTCCTGCCTCAGCCTCCCAAGTAGCTGGGATTACAGGTGTGCACCACCACGCCTGGCTAATTTTTGTGTTTTTAGTACAGACAGGGTTTTACTATATTGGCCAGGCTGGTCTTGAACCCCTGACCTCAAGTGATCTGCCTGCATTGGCCTCCCAAAGTGCTAGGATTACAGGCATGAGCCACCATGTCCAGCCTATGCTACCTATTTAACTGTAGTCATAATTTCACTGTAGTCCGGCATTGGTCTTTAATTATTGCAACACTTGTTCAACTTAAAATATCAAAACTTTTATAATTAATCAACACTGATTGAATCATGTTGGCATAGGTCATCTAGGAATCTTTACTGTGGAGATTTTTTTTTTTTTTGAGACGGAGTTTCACTCTTGTTACCCAGGCTGGAGTGCAATGGCGCGATCTCGGCTCACCGCAACCTCCGCCTCCTGGGTTCAGGCAATTCTCCTGCCTCAGCCTCCTGAGTAGCTGGGATTACAGGCACGCGTCACCATGCCCAGCTAAGTTTTTGTATTTTTAGTAGAGACGGGGTTTCACCATGTTGACCAGGATGGTCTCGATCTCTTGACCTCGTGATCCACCCGCCTCGGCCTCCCAAAGTGCTGGGATTACAGGCTTGAGCCACCGCGCCCGGCCTGTGGAGATTTTTTTTTAAAAAGACTTCTGGGGGAAAATTTGTGGAATAAAGCAGGATCACAGAATCTCCCTTCCAAACCACAAAACTAGGCAGGGTGGATAAATTTGGACTATAAAATTAGATTAAGTGGTGAATAAGAGAGAAAAAAGGATTTTAATGGGGCACAGTGTGGCATTGTACAGCTTCTAATTCTTTCCAGACATAAACAGAGAAGAATAAAAAAGGTGAGCTAAAATTTTTGTAGCATGTGCTAAGTAAGGGTGTCTCTCTTTTTTTTTTTTTTTTTTTGAAAAAGAGTCTTGCTCTGTCACCCAGGCTGGAGTGCAGTGGTGCGATCTCAGCTCTCTGCAACCTCTGCCTGCTGCGTTTAAGCGATTCTCCTGCCTCAGCCTCCTGAGTAGCTGGAATTACAGGCACCCACCACCATGCCCGGCTAATTTTATATTTTGGCCAGGCTGGTCTCAAACTCCTGACCTCAGGTGATCCATTCACCTTGGCCTCCTAAAGTGCTGGGATTACAGACATGAGTCACCACGGCTGGGCAAGGGTGACTCTTGATAGTGGTGGGAAAAGTCACGAAAAATTCCTCAAGAGTAGCAGCTTCTAAAATTAGAACCTAGGATGAGGCAAAAGTTGAGGACTTGCCATCTCACAGAGTACCAGGCTGTCTCACTGTGTAAGCCCGTGGATGGGATCTACTTCTGGCTGACTAGGGGAGGCCACAGGACAGGACATCCCCAAAGGACTCTGAAGAACAAGATTTCTCAGCCAGGACTGCACCAGCCCAGATTAAGCTAACTCTTTTTTTCTTCCTTCATCTCCTTGTCACTACATCACAGAAAAGTGGATTGAAAGAATGAAACAATCCTCAAACATTAGCTCATATGGGAAAGAACAAATATGTCTCAGAAGTAAGTTAAAATAGAGTTACGGAGAACGTGCCACACTATATTATAGAAGGCAGAATGTTCGAACTAAGCTGTAATTCAATTTCCAGTTAAATTCAACATAAACAAGAGGAAAAGACTAAATTTACCATTTTAACCTTTTCTGTTTTTGTTTTTGAGACCGAGTCTTGCTCTGTCGCAAGGTTGGAGTACAGTGGCACGATCTCGACTCACTGCAACCTCCACCTCCACCTTCTGGGTGCAAGTGATTCTCCTGCCTCAGCCTCCCAAGTAGCTGGGACTACAAGTGCAGGCCACCATACCTGGCTAATTTTTGTATTTTTAGTAGAGACAGAGTTTCACCTTGTTGGCCAGGATGGTCTCAATTAAGTGTACAGTTCTGTAGCATTAAGTACATTCATTTTGTGCAGCTGTGGTCATTATCCATCTAAGAATTTTTTTTTTTTTGCCTCAATTTTTAAGAACACAACTGTGACAATCTCAGAAATTTTCATCAGTTTCCCAAAATGAAACTCTATCCATTAAACAATAACTCCCCAGTTTCTCCTCCTGCAGCCCTTACTAACCCCTATTCTTTTTGTCTTCATTGATTTGACTGTTCCAGATCCCTCATATAAATGGAATAATTCACTATTTGTCCTTTTGCATCTGGCTTATTTCACTTAGCACAATGTTTTCAAGGTTCATCCATGTCGTAGGATGTATCAATTTTATTTCTTTTTACAATGGAATAATTTTTCACTGTGTCTATATACCATATGCTGTTTATCCACATGTTCATCCGTCAATGAACATTTGGGTTATTTCTACCTTTTGATTAATCTGAATATTGGTATACTGTACAAATATCTGTTCTAGTTCCTGCTTTCAATTCTTTTGGATATAGATCTAAAAGTGGAATTGCTGGATCATATGATAATTCTATATTTAATTTTTTTGAGAAATTGTCACACCATTTTCCCAAAGCAGCTATACATTTTTTCATTTCCTTCAGCAATGCACAGGGGTTCAAATCCTCCACTTCTTCTCCAGCACTTTAAAAAATATGCAATGACCATTCTAATAGGTGTGACTTAATATCCCATTGTGGTTTTGATTTGCATTTTTCTGGTGATTAGTGGTATTGCCTGTTTTCATATGTTTATTGTCCTTTGTGTATCTTCTTTTTAGAAATATCTATTCAAGTCCTTTGCCTATTTTTAAATCAAGTTGGTTTTGTTGTTGTTGTTGAGTTGTAGTTCTTTTTTTTTTTTTTTTTGAGATGGAGTCTCACTCTGTCACCAGGCTGGAGTGCAGTGTCATGATCTCGGTTGGTTCACTGCAACCTCTGCCTCCTGGGTTTAAGCGATTCTCCTGCCTCAGCCTCCCACGTAGCTGGGATTACAGGTGTCCACCACCACACCCAGCTAATTTTTGTATTTTTAGTAGAGACAGGGTTTCACCATGTTGGCCAGGATGGCCTTGATCTCCTGACCTCATGATCCGCCCGCCTTCGCCTCCCAAAGTGCTGGGATTACAGGAAGTGAGCCACCACACCTGTAAATATAAAGTTGTAGTTCTTTATATATTCTGCATGTTAATCCCTTCTATATGATTTACAAATGTTTCCTGCATTATGTGGGTTGCCTTTTCACTCTGATTGTATTCATTGATGCACAAAATCTTTCAATCTTGATGAAATCCAATGTATCTATTTTTTCTTTTTTAGGCTGTACTTTTAGTGTCTCATATCTTAAAATCACTGCCAAATTCAATATGACGTTTTTCCACCTATGTGTTCATCTAAGAATTTTATAGTTTTAGCTCTTGTGTTTAGATTTTTGATCCATTTTGAGTTAATTTTTGTATATGATGTAAGGGGAGGATCCCACTTCATTCTACTGCATCTAAAGTAATAACTTTTAAATAAATATAATCATCTAGCAGTTTAGCCTCTGACATTGAAGTCTTACCCAGGAGAAAAGTCACTGAGGACGTAAGTGCCCAGATGTACCATCATGACAGTGACCCAGAGCAGCCGAGAGGCTGGTCTTCCCATGGCTCCCCCTCATCACTTCCTGAAACCTGCTGTAGACTGCCGTAAGAGCTGCTCTCTCTCTTTCTCTTTTTTTTTTTTTTAAACAACTAGAGGCACCTGTTCTTTGAAGTGGGTGTCAGCTGCAGATGTAACACCCATTATCACATGACATCTGTTTTTAGTTGGTGAAAAATGCTGCAATGCTTTACTTATTTGCCTCCCTGCTTAGAAATCCACAAGCTTCAAAATTTCCCACAAGGGATCATTAATTTTTTTCTCAAATACTTTTTTTTTAATATCAGATGTCTTTTTGGGATTTACATGTACTATTTTCAATCGCCTCTATTTTAAGTGGAAATAAGTAGAATGGCATATTTTAAAATAGTATTTTATATGCCATTGTTTCAGACAGAAACATCAAAAATTCTTGGCAGCCTCTCAATTATAAAGCCAGACAAATGATCAATTAAAAAACCTCCAGCATTTAATAGGGCACATACTATTAAAACAGAACATTACAGGTCTACTTTGAAGACAAATATGGCTTTTTGGCTAGTATTCCATCAGTGTTTTTCTGTTTTGTTTTGTTTATTTGAGATGGAGTTTCACTCTTTTTGGCCACACTGGAGTGCAGTGGTGCCATCTCAGCTCACTGCAACCTCTGACTCCCGAGTTCAAGCAATTCTCCTGCCTCAGCATCCTGAGTAGTTAGGGTTACAGGCACGTGCCATCACCCCTGTCTAATTTTTGTACTTTTAGGAGAGACGGCGGTTTCACCATGTTGGCCATGCTGGTCTTGAGCTCCTAACCTTGGGTTATCCGCCCGCCTTGGCCTCCCAAAGTGCAAGGATTACAGGCATGAACCACCATGCCCTGCCATTCATCCATGTTTTTCTAGTTAGCACCAACTGTATTTTTTTCTCTGAACAAAACAAACTATAAACTATATAGTTTATACGTGTATATGCACACACATATATACACATATATATCACATCTATCCAAAATGTTTTCATATTTGTCCTAAGTAATTAGTATCATGAAATATTACTAGGTAACTTATTTTTGTTACCAATGTGGCTATATCTGAGACTGGAACAAAAGTAGGCTGTGGGAAGACCGTGAGAATGCCTTAGTGAGCCTGCTCTTTAAGACTTGTTTCTCACATTCTAAATCCTTAAAATTCTTCTTCCTGAACTACAGTTCTTGATTCTTCCTAAACTGCAGTGAGAAACTATGGAATGAACTTAGTCTTGCTTACATAGTCTGTGAGGCCCAGTACAAAATGAAAATGCAGGACCCCTGGTTCAAAAATTATTAAGAATTTCAAGGCCGGGCGCGGTGGCTCAAGCCTGTAATCCCAGCACTTTGGGAGGCCGAGGCAGGTGGATCACGAGGTCAAGAGATCGAGACCATCCTGGTCAACATGGTGAAACCCCGTCTCTACTAAAAATACAAAAAATTAGCTGGGCATGGTGGTGCGTGCCTGTAATCCCAGCTACTCAGGAGGCTGAGGCAGGAGAATTGCCTGAACCCGGGAGGTGGAGGTTGCGGTGAGCCGAGATCGCGCCATTGCACTCCAGCCCGGGTAACATGAGTGAAACTCCGTCTCAAAAAAAAAACAAAAAAAGAATTTCAAGATGGCAACAGCAGAGCATTAAGGCAAACACAGGGTCATTCTGAGCATGCAATCTGTGAAGCTGCACAGTTTCACACCCATGAAGTCGACATTTGTGTGCTTGTTTCTGTGTTCAGCCATTTCTACGACTCAACTGCAGGTATGATTCCCAAATGCTGCCCAAGGACTCATTTTCATTTTCACCTTAATGTAACCATTTTCTTTTCTTTCTTTTTTTTTTTTTTCAGCATCATACTGGAAGTCTTATTCATGCAACCAACGTGTCTCCTCCTGATTGGTGATGGCTTCTTCTCCTTGCTGCTCAGCCAACTTTCCACCACCTGTGAAACCATGCCCTAATTGTCCTCTCTCCTGCCTTTTTCTCCGCATGTATCCAAAGTCTGCTATGAATATTTTATTCAGCAATAACAAATATTTATTTTCTTGGTTTGGATCACCCAAAACAGATCTTGAGATAAGAATTTGAAAGTGAATTATTGTCTTGAGAAGTAAAAGCCAGCAGAGGAGGGGGAAATGATGCAGGGAAAGAAGGCAGCCAACAAAGGTATATTGTTAAGACAACTACCGTGCTTTGAGAGGCCGAGGCGAGCAAATCACCTGAGGTCAGGAGTTCAAGACCAGCCTGACCAACATGGTGAAACCCTGTCTCTACTAAAAATACAAAAAAAAAAAAAAATTAGTAGGGAATGGTGGCAGGGGCCTGTAATCCCAGCTACTCAGGAGGCTGAGGCAGGAGAATCGCTTGAACCCAGGAGATGAAGGTTGCAGTGAGCCAAGATGGCGCCACTGCACTCCAGCCTGGGAGACAAGAGCAAGACTCCGTCTCAAAAACAAACAAACAAAAAGAAGCTACCAAAGTCTCAGAACAACTCCCCTCCCATCTTTTCCTTACTCACGTTCTCCTCCATTGAAGGACAAGGCAGCTGTATTATTTATGCATCAAATGATGGGAATCATTGATTGAGGGCTGCTCTGTGGCAATGACGGTTGTAAATCCTCAAGCCTGATGGGTAGAATAGGTAGAATGGTCTTAAATCTCATTTCTGGAAAGTGTCCTGGAGCTTGGAGATGCAGTTACAGGCATTTTGAAGTTGGCCAGAATACACTTGAATGATACAGTCCAAAGAACCCAGGAGGCAATGACAGCATCTGCTATGTTTGAATACCAACTTTGTCCCAGGTATTATTCTAAGTGTTGGGATATAGGCCATAAACAAAAATCTAAGCTCATGAAGTCTATATATTCTGGCTGGGGGAGAAAAACGAGGAACAAACATGTAAGAAAAGATGGTAAGTATGACAAAAAAGTAAAGCTGGTTATGGGAATAGCGATGAGGGTAAGAGGGGTACCAATTTAGAAAGCGTGGCTGGGGAAAGGCTCTTTGTAAAGGGACACGTGGGCAGAGAACTGAATAAGTGAGGGAGATAACCTAGTAAGTATCCGGGGGCAGGGAGATCCAGGCAGAGGGAAAAGTAAGTTCAAAGGCCCTCAGACAAGAGTGGCCCAGCATATTTAGAAAAGAATAAGGAGGTTAGATATTGGTGGTGGGGGGGCCCGGGTGGCGGCAGGCAGGTACCCCGCGCTAGGGCTTCCCCTCGCCTCTAGCTTTCCAGCGCAGCAGACGCCGCAGAGCGGCCTGGCCCTGCAGCGGAGCCTGCACGTGACTGCAGCCCCAGCTCTCCTGCTCATTCCCACCGTGGTGAAGCAGACGGGTGGCCGGGAGCGCGCCTGTGACACCTACTCGTGGCTGCTGCGGGAGCGCATCGTGTGCGTCATGGGCCAGATAGATGACAGCGTTGCCAGCCTGGTTATTGCACAGCTCCTCTTCCTGCAAGCCGAGAGCAACAAGAAGCCCATCCACATGTACATCAACAGCCCTGGTGGTGTGGTGACCGCGAGCCTGGCCATCTACGTCACAACGCAGTATATCCTCAACCCAATCTGCACAAGGTGCATGGACCAGGCCTCCAGCATGGACTCCCTGCTTCTCGCCGCCGGCAGCCCCGGCATACGCCACTCGCTTCTCAACTCCGGCATCATGATTCACCAGCCCTCAGGGGGCGCCAGGGGCCAAGCCACAGACATTGCCATCCAGGCAGAGGAGATCATGAAGCAAGAAACAGCTCTACAGCATCTACGCCAAGCACACCAAACAGAGCCTTCAGGTGATCGAGTCTGCCATGGAGAGGGACCGCTACATGAGCCCCATGGAGGCCCAGGAGTTCAGCATCTTAGACAAGGTTCTCGTCCACCCTCCCCAGGATGGTGAAGATGAGCCCACGCTGGTGGAGAAGGAGCCTGTAGTAGCAGCGCCATGGCAGACCCTGTCCCAGCAAGCACCTAAGAGCTGGGCCTCGTCTCCAGAATCATACGGAGGGGCCAGAGGCCGGCCAGACCCCCAGCTGGGCCCTGCTTACCCCTCGCTGCTGAACCTGGAGGGGCCCCTTGAGGAACTTTGAATTTGCAAGGGTGCCCCCTATGGATGGGGCATTCCGGCTGAGACACTGTGATTTTAAATTAAATCTTTATGGTCTTTAATACAATTAAAAAAAAAAGAATAAGGAGGCTAATGTTGCTGCCTAGATTATAGGGAGAAAGAAAGAAATGGCAGTGAGATCCTGTAGGGTTCTGTAGACCACAATAAGGTGTTGTTTTATTGTATTATGGTGTTGTATTATATTGCAAGATAGATAGAAAGAAAGCGGAGGCTTTTGAGCAGAGAAGCAATTTGATCTGTGGTGTTGCCAGTCAAAATTGGTGATTGCCATATTGTTTCTGTTCTTCACCCTAAAACACCAAAAAATAGTAAAGTAAACACATGATCACCCATCCATTCACCCATACATTGAGAAAGCATTTCAGAGTTGAGTAATTCCGGCTCCCTCCCTGCTACTGCCATCTGGGACAAGCTGCTGTGGGGTGTGGCAACTGGGAGGTAGCTCATTTGAAGAAGCACAGGCAGAATGAGAAACACAAAAGACATTGGCCAACCCAATGATCACCGCTCTTCTCTTTTTTTCTTTCCTTTTCATTTCCTTTTTTTTGAATCTCTACCTGAATGAGCTACACATAGCCCTTCACATCAGAAGGTGATACTATATAGTTCTTGACAGAGAGAAGATATTCGAGAAATATTAATGGACTCTTAAATTCTGTGTTAATTTATGTCAAGTAACTGATGCCGGGTTTTTTAAAAAAAGACCAGTAATGACATAAAATGCACATTAACATAAGCAGCAGAATATACACAGTTTAAATCAAACACTCATACAGGGGATTTACTTGTGCCCTGGGAGGCTAAGACCAGGCCGGGGGTCACCATGGTGAAAGTTTATTCCTCTTATGCTAAAAGGCTGAACTATTGTTCTTGTTGAAAGTGGGGGCAGGGAATCAGAAGACAGAGTTGAGATTTCCCCCTAGTGCACTGAAAGGTGTCTGTAGAATGATCTATAGACACCTTTCCAATTCAATTCCTTGTTCCAGGATGAGCAAGAAGCGTTTCTACCAGGAGAGCTGCATCCTGACAACCTTAGATTTTCATGGTACAGAATGGAAGAGAAGAAAAACCTGACTTCAATTTTCTCTTCCACCTATGAGAAGACAGCAGAGAAGTTTGAAGTGTGTGACCTTGAGACAAATTTTTCTCTTCTGTTCTCTGCCATCCTACTAAAAGCAAGAAAGCAGAGGAGTCATCTCTGCATCTCTTGAAAAGAGCACCCATTGTGACAGTGACAAAGGGCAGTTTTGTCCATAGCAAAGGTGGGCCTCAGGGCAGCAGTTCTGGTGAAGGGGTAAGGAGAATTCCCAGAAAGCTTCATGGTCACACCAAGTCCAGGATGCTCGGCAGCTGCCCTGGCTGGGAACTAACAACGGAAAGCCAGCGGACCTCACCGGGCCATTCCAAGGCTGAGGTTGAAGGGAGTAAGTTGGGGAGTTGAGGGTAGAAGGAGTAGCAGTGAGGGTAGAAGGATGCCTTGTCAGGCTACCATCCAGGATTTGCAGAGGGAGATACATTTGAGGGGCAGCACTCCCCTTAGTAGTTTGCAAAATGCAGGATTAAGAGAAAATTACCCTCTGCCTGGAATAACTAAGGAGTCCTATTTGGTTTGGTTTGGTTTGGTTTTGAGATGGAGTCTCACTCTGTTACACAGGCTGGAGTGCAATGGCATGATCTCAGCTCACTGCAACCTCTGCCTCCTGGATTCAAGCGATTCTTCTGCCTTAGTTACCTGAGTAGCTGGGATTACAGGAGCCCACCACCACACTCGGCTAATTTTTATATTTTTAGGAGAGACGAGTTTTTCACCAAGTTGGCCAGGCTGGTCTCAAACTCTGGGCCTTAGGCAATCCACCTACCTCAGCCTCCCAAAGTGCTGAGATTACAGGTGTGAGTCGCCACGCCTCGTCTTTTTTCCTCAAAATAGTGTGCATGTCACAAGAGATAAGAAAACGAGGAAATGTGGACATGACTAAACTCTTTACTTCTTTAGCATAGGAACCATGTTTTATTAAACTTGTTCTTTTACAAATCATTTTCTAAATTTCCCAAAGCATTTATTACCCTTACCCCTTAGATTTAAATTACAATATTTATATACAAGTAAGGTTGACTTCTGGGCTACCAATTCTTTTCTCTTTTTACATCCACTTCAGTACCCGTATCATATTTTTTTCATTAGTAAAGCTTTATGTTTTCCTACATAGTAATGAAAGGTCCAGTGATTGTGGTTTTCCCCCATCATTTATTAAATATTTTTGCATAATTTCTGTGTGAATTTTAAAATTATCTTACGGAGGAATTTCTGAATTAAACTTTATTAAAAACTTTGATAATACTTCAGTTACGATTGCATTAAACTTGCACATTAATTGTAGAATTAAAATTTTTTTATAATATTGAGTCTTTCCGTTGAAGAACATGGCTTATCTCTACATTTTTTAAGTCTTCTTTGACAAGCTTAAGAAAAGTTTGATCTTTTTTTTTTTTTTTTTT